ATAGCCACAGGTGGGCCACAAACCATGCCTTTAGCATCCAGGCCAAATTTGGGCCAGAGTCCCCAAATCCACAGGCTGGGATTCCTGACCCTGATTGGGTGTCCATGCACTCGGTCGTTTCCCTCTCCTGCCGGCGCTATGCACTACTGTCTCAGTCTCTGACATCTTGAAAATTTCTTAATTTTTATTCATCTTTGTAGTTTATTGTTTAGAAATTGGTTTTTATTTGTGTACAATGGGTTTCCAAGAAAGCACAATTGCAAAGTGAGAAACACCGTAGGAGGATAAATACAACTGAACGTATTTGTTCAGTAGAGCAAGGTGATTTGTTTTGGACAAATATTCACTAAAAATTGAATTTTGCGTTGACCTAAACGATTTGTGAATTCAACGCAAATCTGCCAAATAGCCGTCTCCCCCAGTTTTTTTTCTTTATAGGTTCTCTATCAGGGGATGTAGGCACGAGTCCTAAAAGAAGAGGAGCAAGAGCAGATTTTCTGGATTATCCTATAGCCTCATGCATAGAACATTCACCTGGGCTGTGGTGGAAGATTCAAATTCAGGTCCTTTTCCTAATGACTAAGTACTTTATACAGATTGGAGCAGTTCCTATAAAAGAGGCTGAGAGAGCTCTCCCTGCACCAGAATACCCAGTATCCCAGTAGTTAGGGCACTTACCTGTAGAGACGGAAGATTGAAATTCAACCATCTGCTTCAAATTGGGCAGAATGGAGACTCAAACCTACATCCCAGCTCTAATCACAGGCCGGGAAAGTGGAGAAACCTCCTCCTCCGAGGCTTTATATATGTCACTTCCAAATGTCCTTTGCTTTTAGTTTAAAAAAGCAGTTAAATGCCCAGGTTTTTGCTCTTTGAAACAGATTGTTGTTGTTGTTTTGGTAAAGCCAAAATAACTCGTTTCCTCTCCAATTTTTCAGTTTGATTGAAACAAAAAATCAGTTCTTCACAAAGCTGTCCTGTTCAGTTTATATCTTTGACTAATATGCATTTTCAAAAACTATTAAAGATGAGAGAAATTAAGGTATCATTGTTCTGGTTTTACACTGATAGAGTTTCATCCATCTTACTGGAGTAACTGCTTGCTTTGAGGTGTTTTTCTTGAAACTAGATTTCTCTAATATTTTGTGCAATCTTGCCAATGACTCTTGTCCCTCATGGCAACACATGCTCAGCAGTTGAATACAAGGCTGTAAGTTAATTAAGGAGTTGTTCAAATGATGTAAATCTTGAGAGTACAGCACAAGAAAATGACAGCAGAATCCTAAAAAGGAATTTAAGCATTAGCATTCATTCTCAGACTGTGTGATTAATGCTATTTCTAGGGGTAGGCGAGCCTTAAAGCATTCAAATTTCAGTCAGTTTGATTGTGAAGTTCAAAAGCGTATAGTTTCAAAATGTCTTTTGAAATTCGAGCCCAGCACTAAAACAGTTGTTTTTGTTTTACAGTTTGGTGATTACAAAGTGACAACTATCTTTAAGGCTCACATGCTCTGCTGCACATCCATCCGTATTCAAACCGTGCTTTTCTAGGTTCCTAGAATGTGTTCGTCAGTATTTTTATATCTGCCCATTTCTAATGCTGGGGCTCAACCGATCCAGTGGGGATTAATAAGATACCTTCAAATCTGATTGTTTGGGACCTGTCAGGTCCCGAGGGTGCCGGACGAGGGAGGTACAACCTGTAGTAACTGTTCATAGTACACTTTGTAAGAGAAAGTCCCTGCCCTACAGAGATCTGTTTATTTCAAAACCTCCCATTGTCTGCTATGTAGCATGTATCTTTTATTAGTAAAATGTCACTTTATGACAGCCCCTCTCCCCAGAAAAAACAGGACTATGTAGCACTTTAAAGACTAACAAGATGGTTTGTTAGGTGATGAGCTTTTGTGGGCCAGATCCACTTCCTCAGATCAAATAGTGGAAGAAAATTGTCATAACCGTATGTACCAAAGGATACAATTAAAAAAATGAACACACATGAAAAGGACAAATCAAATTTCAGAACAGAAGGGGGATGGGGGGGCATGCTAACCCTTTAGCAGAGAGTGACATCGGCTGTAGACTGTATTAAGGAGGTATACTATAGTTTAAAGCTGCTTTGGTGTACCTTACCTATTTGTTTGTGCGCATGTGAAGATTTACTGTATGTGAAAATGTTGGTCTGTGGGCAGAGTTCATCAGGAAAACAAAAGGCCCACTTCTGCAGCTATGGGAGGAGGCTCCTGGGCCCCGAGGAACCAGAATGAAAAGTCAGGGGTGAGGGTGCAGGCCACAGTGACAAAACAAGGGACCTAGAAAGGAACACTGTGCAGACAACCCTGAACAATGCCCATTGCTTCAAAAAAGTCAATGGAAGCCTCCCAGAAGATTGACAATTCTCCATGCTGAGATCCGGGATTTTTTTTAAAGGCCAGGTTCTATTTTGTAGACATAAAATTGTATGCACTCATATTTTCATCTGAACTCTGCTAACTCTTGTGCACCCTTAAACAGTCAAATACCTGCGTGCACTTTGTGTTTGAGTGGTCCCAATGGGTTTTCTGGTTGCTGATCTAATACTCACATATGTAGGCTTTGGACTCTTAGAGCAGGTGCTTAGGTGTTACTGTGTGCACAGGATGTGTGTAGATTTTTGCATCTGCAAAGTGCAGGCACGAGCATATCTGCATACACTTTGTGTGTGTTGAAAATTTACTGGGCACTTGCCAGAAGATAGCAAATCACAGGCTGAGCTGAGTAGACAGCCCACCATCAGCAGATTCCCAGTTCCCAGTTCAGTTGACTGTATAATAATGGTCTAGCCAGTACTGTATAGCAGGCTTTTTGTAATTGACATCAAGTATTCAAAAAGAGCAGTGACCTGTCCATTTAGTGTGTTACAGCTGGAAATAACTATAAGAGTTGGTCAGAGTAAGTTACTCTAGTTTGTAGTTGATCTCTGAAGTTTCAAAAGAAGGCCATGTCTTTGTGAACAATTTCTATTTCACAGAAGGCTCCACTCTGTTCTTTTTGGCTGTGATTTAATGGAAACTTTAGGTAATATTTTACACCTGAAAACTCAACAGTATTATCACTGCAAAACCTACAAGTGTTCACTGTTCACCCACTGTAATTGGAATTGATTGAGTGTTAGATGACCCTTTATTGCCAAAGTTTAGTAGGAGAAGAGTTTAAAAAAAAAAAGATATAAAACTTCAGACAAGAAGTACATGCCATCTGTAATCAGAGACTAGTTAGATAATAATAGCATTTACATGACACACATCCTGAGAGAGCATCACAAAAAATAATTCTTCTTAACTAGTTAAAATATTCAGAGAATCCTGGCTGTAAGTCTTGTTGGTTCCCAGTCAGTAGTAGTCAGTTAAGGCACCCAATTCCAATGGCCAGATTGGCATATGGTGCAAATTGGTGCATCTCCACTGAAGTCAATTGAACTATGCAGATTTTATACTAGAAGAGAATCTGGCCCAGTAGGTCATGGAAATAATGAACATAATTCAGAATGGCCTGAGAGTGGGCTAATGGAAAATAGCATTCGTTTAGGGTCGTATTTTTAAAGTAAGGCATGTGCAAGAAAGATGTGGAGAAATTGGAGCAGGTCCAGAGAAAAGCAACAAAAATGATGAAAGGTCTAGAGAACATGAACTTTGAGGGAAGACTGAAAATTGGGCTTGTTTAGTTTAGAAAAGAGAAGACCAAAAGGGAACATAATAGCAGTTTTCAAATATCTGAAAGGGTGTTACAAAGAGGAGGGAGAAAAATGGTTTTCCTTGGCCTCTGACGTTAGGACAAGAAGCAGTGGGCTTAAAATGCAGCAGGGGAGGTTGGACATTAGGAAAAAGTTCCTAACTGTCAGGGTGGTTAAACACTGGAGTAAATTGCCTACAGAGGTTCTGGAGTCTCCATCACTGGAGATATTTAAGAGCAGGTTGGATGATCTAGATGGCGCTTGGTCCTTCTGTGTAGGCAGGGGACTGGACTTGATGATCTCTCTATGTCCCTTCCAGTTCTAGTATTCTATGTAGAACTGCATGCGTCAGTTTGCACTAACTGAAATTATGAGTACAAAAATCAATGTGTGCAAATCAGATCCTTATTCAATCGACTCTTCACAGGTTCACCGATGGGAAGGGGAGAGGGGGCATCTGCCCTGGGGCCCTGTGATTCAAAAGGGCCAGGCAGCGCTGAGGGCTAAAGGAGACACCGTTGTCCGAGTGGCATCGAGGGCCAATTGCGCCCACAACTTCCACTCAAGGCCCCATCCTTTCCAGGAGTATGGTGCCGCCTTCCTTCCTCCCCCATACGCACCTTGCTTAGTGGCCTGGTGAGGCTGTTGGCTCTCCTGCCTCTTGAGGTGGTATAAATCATGTAGCTCCACTGAACTCAGTGGAGTTTTACCCATTTTACATCAGCTGAGAATCTGGTCTCTTTTGGTAACTGGCCATGTAAGTGAATGAATACCTGACTTTTGCATGAACATCAGATATTTGCATGTATAAATTAACTAAGCCCAAGAGTTTTTTCTCCTCTATGATCTATAATTTAGTTAATTATTACTCTTCCACCTTTAAAGATTGCATGTGCCAGGAAGCAGAACATTAAATAAATGTTTGCCATTAATACAAATTAATGTGTTTTGACAGCTTGCTAATCAACTAAAGGAAAATGCTGCTACAGAAATATGTACAATTGCCATTTAAGCAATTTTTTTTAGGTAGGTGGGGATTTGTCATTAAAATGTGCACCTTTAAAATTTTCATAGGTTAGTCTAAGGTTTTCTCTCTATAATATGCTAATATGCAGACAAATCGGAAGTTGGGTCTGCGATTGTTTGTAAATCCATAACTAATATTGTTGGACATTTGACCATATGCCAGGTGTATCGGTCATTTCCTGTACAATCTTAATTAATGTGCAAATGACTGATTTAATGTTGAATAGATCTTGATACCTTGTATTCTTTACACATTATGCAGGTATGGGATGTTTCTGGGGAGCAGAAAGAAAGTTTTGGACACTGAAAGGCGTCTACTCCACTCAAGTGGGTTATGCAGGAGGGTGTACCCCAAATCCCACCTATGAAGAGGTGTGTTCAGGTATGTCTGTTTTCTTTGCTTTCACAGATCATGGGCCTGATTCTGTGAGATGAGCTATTTTAGCGGAAGTGGAAGGTGATCAGAGCCTTTCAGGTTAGGACCCATAAAAACACTGATATCTACTGTACCAATCTAAATGTTAATATAATACAATCTAAGACATTTAGAAGCCATCGTCATCCCCTAGAATTTAATTAGTTGTCTTGCATACAAAGACACCAATGATGGGAAAGAAACAGGTTTTCCTTGTTTGTGTCTGTTGTATGTGCTCAGAAAATTATAACTACCATATATTTATTCTTTAGAAAACTGATAATGTACAGTTCCAACCGTTCCTTTAGTAGTGAAAGAAGTCAAGAGTCCCTAGGGTGTCATGTGGTGATAAATTGAAATATCATTTGTTTCCTGGATTACTTTATCATCTTTTATATACAGCTCAACAGCCACTGTCCTACCAGTGCAAAACAACACGCCAGAATCTGTCCATGCTCTGTGTTCTCACCAACCCTCCCACCCTACTGCAACCAAAACTCTTTCATTTTTTTACCCGTAATCCACATCCCATAATCCTTTTCAGACATTTTACACTGATTCGTGCTGCTCTGAAAGTGTATCCATGCTGGGCATAGTTCTCACTGCTTGCTCTCTTACACAGTAGTTAGAAGAGTATAGATTTGAGCTTTTACTTGGCTTTTGTTCTCTTGTCAACACTTTTCATGCCAACTGCTGAGGCTGCTTTACCACTTTTGTATATTACCTGGGGACTAAGAGATGACATAAAACAGTGTAAAAAGTTTTGCAGTCCTAGCAGTTAATAGATGTCACATCAGCCAAGGAGAATTGCTGCAGAGTACCTAAGGAAATAGAAACCATCTGTATGGAAACAAGAACGGCGAAAGAAATGTTAAGAATTCTATTTCTATCTATATCTGTATTTGAGGTCTGCAAGTCCGTTTGTTCAAGAAGTCCTCCTGAACGGTAAGAACTAGGACCACTAAAATTAGGAGAAGAGGAAGCTACCTACCAACTTAAAGCAAGGTCATGCTTTGGTTGTGCCAGGACAACCAGAATTCCCGGGAAAGAGACTGTATTCCATAACATGCAAATGGAGAGGCTGCTGTTTGGAGGGATGCAATACTGGGAGTGGCCACTGGTGGCAGTGAGCCCACAGGGGAGAGCTATCCAGCAGAGTGGCCACTGGGGCAGCTGTGCCACCAAAACGAGTGATCAGCAGGGCTGGGGCTCCACCATCTTGCCCCTGGAAGTCACATGGGGCAGAGGGGAGAGAAAAGGCCCCTGGTATCTGGGGGAAGGGCGGGGGAAGAGAAAACCCTGCCGGATAGGACTCCCAGGGCCCTGTCTCACCCTCTAACCCTCACTCAGGCATCCCCCTTGCACCTAGCCTCCTGCATGGCCTCCCCCACCTCGCCAAGACACTGCCCTGACTCTTGCACCCCACCCCACCAGCTCCCTGCCCTGAAGGACCCAGCTAAGTCTGCAAGTTACTCTACAAAGTAAAAATTACAGGAGCTATTTTTATATAGGCACATAGTTAATCTTTTAGTAGTGAGAACTAACAGCAAAAGTGCTCCTGAATGTAAGGACTCAGTGGAATTGAACTTTAACCTCCTCCTTCCCCAACAAGGATACTATACCATTGGCATTAAGTGATGGCTGGGCAGCTGCTAGCAATACCCTGGCCTGGGGTACCTGCAGGCTGCTAGAGAGCACGGCCACCAAGGAGAGGTCACACATGCTCAGAAAAAAGCACAGTGGGTCAGTCACGTCTTTCTGATTTGTTTAGACCATCCATTGCCTCCTTTCTGAAAGCTTAACTTCCACGTTATTACACCTTGGGCCTGACTCTCCACATGTGCGCACCAAGTGCAGTGTTCACAGCTGTGTGTGGTCCGCTAGCCATTTGGCACTTTCAGTCCATTCTATTCCACAGCCTGATCATTTGCTTGTAAAAGGCCACAAAATCTGACCCTAACGCCTTTGATTATCTGATCTTTCATATTGCACAGTGAAGCATATTACAATTTCCCCCATCCCAATACCCACATTCCTGGTATGCTGAGGTGACTTAGGGTAGAATTTTGAGGGCCCTTGTAAAGGGCTCCGCCCTTCTTGTGAGTGCCCCTCGATTGCTGAGGAGAGTCTTGTAGTCTCTCTGCGTGGCTGTCTGAGGGAGAGGAAGTGTCCGGTATGTGACCTGGGACCCGGTGTCTTCTTACCCCTTGTTGTAGCTGCTGAAAGTTGTGGGAGACCCAGGCCTACCCACTCCTCTGGGTCCTGGCCTAGGGACCTTGTAAGTAGCCTGCTGAATCTCTAAGAGGTCACTTGTGTCATGTTCCCTGGGCCACTTCCCTGGGAAGCTACTCTGTCCAGCCCTTTCTCTTGGGCCTTGTGGTCAAGTCCTCCCTGTCCAATGTCCTGGAAAGTATTGCTGTTGGCTTACTGGCTAGTCTTCAGCTGAGGGACCTGGTTCTGACCAAGTCTGAAGTCCAGCTCCCACTCGGAGCTGTCTGGAGTGCTGCTGTTCTTCCAGTCAGCCCTTAGGTCTGCCTGGGTCGAGCTCCAGCCAGGAATTGGCAGGCCCAGGCCCAACAGCTTCGTTTATATTGGCATGCTGTGCCCTGATTGGCTGCAGCAGACGCTGCCACTCTATTCTTCTCGGAGGACCTCTCGTCTGCTCCTGTTGCTGGGCAGGGTACGGAAAGGTCTCCAGCCTTCAGCAGGGATATCAGGGCCTAGTCCACCCCATCATAACCCTCTAAAGACACTACGTGCTGGTTTCTTCCAGGGGAAGTGTGAAGAGAGGCTGGGAGAGACAGTCAGGGTGTAAACTCTCTTGAATACTCACTTTGTAGACTGCTTCTGGACTTCCCAATAGCTCCTTGGGGGCAGGGGATAGCCTGTTGTAATTGGGTCCTAGGGCTGAAGAGCCTCGGGCTAAAACAGCCCTGATTACCAGGTGAGCCTCACAGGAGAGGGATCAGCATCTGGAAGCTGCAGTTCTGGTTGTTGCTCAGGGAGAACAAAGATTGATAGCTGCAAATACATTCCAGCAGAGACCTGGGACCTACCCCTCAGGCAGGAAGGGCTGGGAGTAGCCTGCTAAT